CTCCCCCCTTCCTTCCTTCTCCCTCCTGCCCTTCACCCTCCTACCTTCTTCCCCGCCTTATTCATTCATTCAACCTAGGTCTGATCTGTGCTGGGCATTAGTGACTAACAGGTATGTAGTAAGTGCCAAGTAAATGCTCAATAAGTGTGTATGTCAAATGAAATGGGTGATCGGAGCTTGCTAAATTAAATGAAAGATGGAAATGAAGTGATTGGAGATCAAAATGAGTCCAGCTCTTCCCTGTCCCCCAAGAACTCTATGTATTAATGGGAGAAACAGTCTAGAGACTTTTTCAAACCACCATTTTCAAATTGGTGATGTGATGGAAAATATATTTGTTACTGGGGGTAATTGTAAAAAAAACTAGTTAGGAAACACTGACCTGGCCATAAAAACACTTACATAGTGCTTGCTATATCCAGGCAGAGTTCTAAGTGCTGAAAAATTTCAGTGCATTTATGATCACAACAACAATTTGACATATGTACATTTATTATTTACAGAAGGGAAACTGAGGCACAAAGTGCTTGCCTAACCTTCCCAGAATCTCACAGGGGAAATAGTAGAGCCAAGATCAAACTCACACTATGAGTAACCACACTAAACTGCCTGGCTTTTGCTTTATTCATTCATTCATTCATTTATATTTTTTGAGACAGAGTCTTACTCTGTCACCCAGCTACTCAATGAGATAGTAGCTCACTACAGCCTTGAACTCCTGGGCTCAAGCAATCCTCTCACCTCAGCCTCCTGAGTAGCTGGGACTACGGGCACACACCACTGTACCAGATTTATTTTTATTTTTCTGTAGAGACGAGGTCTCACTTTGTCGCCCAGTCTGGGTTGAACTCTTAGGGTCAAGGGATTCTACTGCCTCGGCCTCCCAAGGTGCTGCCACCATGCCTGGCCACACCTAGCATACTTGACTGAAAGAAACTCCCTCTCGGGGCAGTGAGGGTGTGAGGCTACTAAGAAAGTTGAGATCATTTCTGACAGTGGCCACCAGCTTCCTAGAGGAGGTGGCTTTTAAGATAGTCATATATTGAGTCTTCAGTGTGGGACAGATAGTGTACTAAACCCTGTACAGACATTATCTTATTGATACTGCCTGTGAAGTAGGTACCCATGCTCTCTCCATGCTGCAGACGAAGAAAAACTTTTTATTATGCAATAATTGTAGACTTATAGAAGTTACAACAATGGTATGGAGAGTTCTCATATACCTGTCACCAGCCTCCCTTCATGTCAACATCTTGCATAAGAATAGGGGGAAAAATATATTTTGAATACTCAGAGAACTTGCTTCTAAGGTCTCATCACTGGTGAACAAGGGAGCCAGCCATAAGCAGGGCTGCTCTGGCCTCCAGGCCTGTCTACCTAGCCACCCTCTGCTGACTCCCTGTGGCTTCAAGGATGGGCCTCCCCACATAGGACTTGCCCTAACTTGCCGACAACTTTATTTTTTTTTAATCATTTATTTTTTGAGTCGGGGTCTCACCTTGTCACCCAGGCTGGAGTGCGGTGGCACCATCACAGCTCACCGTAGCCTTCATCTCCTGGGCCCAGGCGATCCTTCTGCCTCAGCCTCCCAAGTAGCTGGGACTCCGCACACCACCATGCCTGGATAATTTTTTTTATTTTTTGTAGAGACAAGGTGATGACTTTAAATAAGTCGTTCAGTTTCCATAAGGATCAGTTTCCTCATCTGTCAAATGAGACGGCCCCTTTCTGCCCCTTTCCACATGTGTGAGCCATGGGTGGGGACAGGATGGGCATGGCAGAAGTTAAAAGAAATAGAGATGCCAGGCGCAGTGGCTCAAGTCTGTAATCCCAGTACTTTGGGAGGCCGAGGTGAGTAGATTGCCTGAGCCCACGGGTTTGCGACCAGCCCCGGCAACTTGGTATGACCTCCTCTCTACAATAAATTTTAAAAGTTAATTATCCGGGCATGGTCGCTCACGCCTATAGTTCCAGCTACTCGGAAGGCTGAGGTGGAAAGATTGCCAGAGCCCAGCAGGTCGACGCTGGGGTGGCCATGAGCATGCCACTGCTCTCCAGCCAGGGCGACAGAGTGAGACTCCAACTCAAAAAGAAAAAAAAAAGAAAGAAAGAAATAGGGAAGGCAACGGCATTGCCAGCAGGATTCATCCAAGTCCTCAGGTCATTAAGTCCACCCAGGCCTGCCTCCAGTGTCGCGGGTTGAGAACATCCGAGGCCAGTGTGGATTGGTACACCCAGCGGCGAGAAACAAGATGCTTGACCTATTGGGAAAGGATGCTTTATTGTGGAAAAATCTATTCACCATGTTATCCGAAGGGAGGATTTGACAAGATAAAGTTCAAGTTAATTCAAAAATAAATGTATTAAAGAGTACACATCTGTCTCTCGGGATCTGGGCTCATCTCTGACAGCTGCATTACTAAACCTCATCTCTCAGGAGTTAAAGAGTTAAGCTTCTCTCTGTCTTCCACAAGTATTTCTGCTGTTCTTTCAGACAGTTCAGGTCCTCCAGTGTCAGCTCTGAATCCGGTCGTGGTGAAAACTCTCAAACCCTCCCTGCATTCAAGCTTGGTTGCTTTGTTCTGAGGACACAGGGCAAGAGACGTGAGGTATTCGCCCTGACATGGCATTTCTCCCCTGACCTCCCTACCAGCTTTATTGAGGTGTGATTGACAAAAGTTATGTATCTGAAGGTGTACAACGTGAAGATTTGATGTAGGTGTGCATTGTGAAATGATTACCACAATCAAGATAATTAATACATCTATCACCTCACATAATTATGGTGTGTGTGTGTGTGTGTGTGTGTGTGTGTGTGTGTAGAACACTTAAGATCTAGTGGCTTCTCTAGTGGCCCAACTCTAACTCACAAGAAAGGAGGTTTAGGATTGCAGTTGTCAGAGCTGAGCCTAGAGCCCAAAAGATGCCTGTGTGTGTTCTTTAATACATTTATTTGTGTGTGTGTTTGTGATCTGTGGAGTCATTCAATTTCAGGGTCCGGGGCATTTCAGGGTCCTCTGCATTTGGGGTTAAGGGCAATTCTGAGTTTATCCTAGCCTTTGAGTCAGGCCTTTTCAGAGTTTTGGGAATTTCGTGTTTTAGGGCCTTAGTATGAGGTGAAGGGTGCTGGGATTTACTGCAGGGCCTTCCACACCCTCGCTGGGCCTCAGGCTCCCCATCTGTCCCAGGAGGGGGCTGGGCCCCCCCAGGGCTGGCATGGGAGCATCTCCCCAGTGCAGATAAAGGGCCCCATTGAACTGCAGGCTCCTCGGCTGCTGTCCTGACAAAGCCCTTTTCTCCTGAGCCACAATGGCCCTGTCAGGCAGGTAGCAGGGCCCACAGCATTGTCTCCCCAGAAAAGAACAACAGGGCTCACTGTCTGTCCCACGCCTGGTCTCCGAGTGGGCTGGTCGCTTTAGAGAAGGGTCTGACCAGCCAGGGACTGGCGACCCAGCCACAACTATTTTGGCCAATTATTCAGGGATGAGCAGGAATACAAATTTACCAAAACTCAAGTTGTTATAATCTTGACTTTTCCAGGTGTGAATGTTGTATGTTACCGAGCTGCACCATCCAACATGACAGCTGCCAGCCGCACGTGGCTGCCGAGAATCAGATGTGCCACTAATCCCAATGGTGATGTGCTGTGAGTAGAAGACAGACTGTGCTAACATTTTGGACCAGATCATTCTTTGTTGTGGGGCTGTCCTGTGCACGTAGAAAGTTAAGTAGCAGCCCTGGCCTCTACGCTCCAGGTATCAACAGCACACACGCCTCCACCCACGGCTTCCCCAGATTTTGACAACCAAAAGCATCTTCAAACTATTGCCAAAATTGTCCTGGGTTGAGAACCACCCAGATTTTGAAGGTTTTGTAAGAAAAAAAGAATATGAAATAGCTCAGTAATGATTATTTAAAATATTGACTGTATGTAGAAGTGAGCATTTTTGGGATATACTGGATTAAGTAAAAAACATTATTAAATGAATGCGTACTATTCTTTTTCTTTCTATAAAGTGGTTAATAGACTGTTTCAATTTACATATGTGGCTCAGGTTATGTTTCTGTTGGGCCATGCTGTTCTAGAGGAAGAAACTGAGGGTCAGAGGGGGAAAGTGACCAGCAGAAGGTCACAGAGCAACACAGAGAGAGAATCAGGGCCCACCACCAAACTGGCACCACCGCCAAACTACTACCCCATACAGCTTCACAACAGAAAGGAAGTCTGAAAATCAAGGCAGTGGAGAAGGAGCAGAGAATGGAGACACAAGTGCTATCAGGGCTGGGTATAGAAGACTTGCTGCATGACATGCACGTGATCATTTCATCTGTGCAGCAACCCTGGGAAGCAGACTCTGTTGTCATTTTTCAGATGAGGAAACGGAAGTACTGTGAGGACACTGAGCCTGCAAGCTGAGAAACCAAGAATCCTACCAGATAGTCTTTCTTTCTTTCTCTCTCTCTCCCCCCCTCCTTCCTTCCTTCCTTCCTTCCCTCCTTCCTTCCTTCCTTCCTTCCTTCTTTCTTTGTTGGGGTCCAGGCTGGAGTGTGGTGGCACGCTCATGGCCACCACAGCCTCGATCTGCTGGGTTCAGGTGATCCTTCTGCCTCAGTCTTCCAAGTAGCTAAAACCACAGGTATGCACCACCACACCCGGCTAATTTTTTGATTTATTGAAGAGATGAGGTCTTGCCAGGTTGCCCAGGCTGGTCTCGAACCCCTGGGTTCAGGCAATCCTCTCACCTCGGCCTCCCAAAGTGCTGGGATTACAGGCTTGAGCCACCACCCCCAGCAGTCCTGCCAGATAGTCTTTCAGTACAACATATACTGCCTTGCAGTCCTGGGTCTAGTAACACTCTCTGAGACTTGAGTAGGCCACTTCCCCTCCTTGCCTCCTACCCTAGGTAATCCAACTGAGTGAGATCTAATCTGAAGCCCCTCTCAGCCCTGCAGACCTAGTCTTCTGGACAGGGTGGGGACAACAGCTGGAATCTGGGCATTTGGCATGCAGAGGTGGCCCATCCTTATCTAGGTGTGTCCCTAGGATGGCTGCTGTCCTCATGAAGAGCTTGACTGATGTCAGAAATGATGCTGGGAATGCATGCATGGCACTTGGAAGCAAGCAGTGGCAGAGACAGAACTTCAGGCTGGGATTGTGCATTCCAAGAGTAGATCTCTCTTAACTCAGGCACTGGCTTGATGAGGCCAGAGTCTTTTTTCCCAGTCTCCTTCCTTGTCCTCCTCTGTATGAGTTACTTGGGAAGACGGGCCACCCAGAAGTCACAGAGGGTAGCTATATAACCTTCTCATCAGCCTCATTCAGAGTTAGAGCCAGAAGGGCTCTAATCAAGGGCTCTAATCAAGGCCACTGTGTGTGACCTTGGGAAAGTCACCTGAACCTCTCTGGACCTCAGTTCCTTTATTTGTAAAATGGGACTTAAACAGTGGCTAGAGTGAAGGATTATACTGAGCACATGAACTAATGCCCTCCAGGTGCTTGGCGCACAGGAGACCTCAGTGTGAAGCTGGGGAAACTGAGGTAGGTAGAGATGCAAAGTCGTGTCCAACATCAATTAGCTAATTTGTGACAGAATCAGTAATTCACTCAGTCACTTGATCCCAATCTAGCACTTTTATCATCCTCTTTGTTTTCTTTCTGAGCAGAAAGAACAGATCTTAGGGCAAATCATGAGTTAATATGTTTTGGCCACTTTTAAAAATGATGCCAGGCACAGTGACTCAAGCCTGTAAAGTACAAGTGGCCCAGGGCTTTGGGAGTCTGAGGCAAGTGGCTTGCCTGAACTCAATAAACAATAAAACAATAAATAAATAAATAAATAGCCAAGCATAGTAGTTCCAGCTGCTTGGAAGGCTGAGGCGGAAGGATCACCTGAGCCCGGCAGGTCGAGACTGCGGTGGCCATGAGCGTGCCATTGCACTCCAGCCTGGGCGACAGAGTGAGACTCTGACTCAAAAAAAAAGAGTCAATGCACTAAGGTTTTTTATACACATTATTTCATCCTCACAACAAGCCTATGAATTAGGTACTGGGACTATCCCATTTTAATTATTAATTTTTTCTTTTAAATAGAGACAGGGGTCTTGTTGCTCAGTGGTCACTAACTCCTGGGCTCAAGCAATCCTCCCACACGGCCTCCCAAAGTGCAGGATTACAGGCAGAAGCCAAGATGCCAAGCTGACTATTTCCATTTTAAAGACAAGAAAACTGAAGCCCAGGCAGGTTGAGTAACATCAGAAATGATGCTGAGTTAAATAGTGGAGCCACAGTGAAGCCCAGCAGACTGATGCTAGGGCCAGTTTCTCATTCTTCTCAGGCTGATTCCAATGCCTCTGTGGGGCAGAAGGAAGATTGTCAAATTACTACGAAGGACTGAGCTCTCTCTCAGGTATGTATGTGGAAGTGCAGCATTACTGGGCTGGGATGTGGGTGTGCAGAGAGCCTAATGCATTTAGATTACATATAAGAACTTCAGGTCTTATGAAAAAACAGCAATAGTTAAAATAGTAATGCTAATAACAACACACATTCTTTTTGTGTATTGCCTCTGATCCTTACAGCAATACCACCTTCGGCTGACTTCATGGTACACGAGCTTCATAAGATCCTCATGCTATATGACTTTATCCTAATCTTACAGCTGGCAACAGTTAAGACTCTGTGAGGTCAAGTGACTTGCTCAAGGTCACACTGAGCTAAGCTGGGATTCGAGCTGTTTTCCAAGCATCTGCCATTCTGTCTTCCTCGTTCCCCACCATTTGATTCTCAGAGTCACTGGCCACCTCATGGTGAGGGACCAAGGGGAGCTTCGTGATGCTCATCCCCTGGGCCTGTTTGGACCTGCAACCTTTGGTACATGGGAATGGAAAGGGCAGGAATACAATGAGCTCTGAGTGTGGTCAGCAGGAACAGTGATTCTAAAGTCAACTTGAACATGAACAACAAACTTAGGCTGCTTTCCATTTGTAAAACAATAAACCCATCTCAGACTCTGATGTTTGAGAAGCTGGTATAAAAAGAGACAGGAGGCCAGATGTGGTAGCTCACGCATCTAATCCCAGTACTTCGCGAGGCCGAGGTGAGAGGATTGCCTAAGCCCAGGAGTTCGAGACCAGGCTGGGCAACATGAGAATCTCATCTCTACAATAAATCAAAAAAACATAGTTGGGCTTAGTGGCCCATTCCTGTTGTTCCAGCTACTTGAAAGGCTGAGGCAGGAGGATTGCCTGAGCCCAGCAGGTCGAGGCTGCAGTGGCCATGAGTGTGCCACTGCACTCCAGCCTGGGTGACAGTGAGATGCCACTCAATCAATCAATCAATAGTGGTGAGGACTAACCTCGACCTTTTTTTTTTTTTTGGTCTTATTTAAATTCCTAATTAAGAGGCTGGGGGAGTCAGGCCTAATAAGGACTCTTCTGACAGGGTTTATTGCCCTATGACACCATAAGCTAAAAAGTCTGTTTTCCAATCTGACTCTGGCATAAATCACATGATAACTAAAGAAGGAGACCAAATTATTTTATGGCCCTGCAAAGGCATCCCTTGGGGACTCCCAGGAACCTTGTAAGATACCTATCTATTATTCCCGAAATCTGCCACATATGAGACTTCATCTACAAATCTGGAGTTTTCCTGACCCACTTATCTTAACAAAGCATATTCTCTAATGATTTACAAAGTTCCTGAGATAGGAACTACAAAGTACCTGCCAAGAAATCTTTGAATCCCCCTGTGATCTGCAAGTTGTTTGCTCCTTAAACATGTCCCTCCTTCATGGGCCAAACCAATGACCATCTCACATGTTTTGATTTGTGGTTTATGTAACTTCTGCCTTCCTCAAATGTCTATAATCAAGCCACCATTCAATCAGGGTGGGTACCCGTTCTCAGGACCCCCTGAGGATGGGTGTTCCCAGGTTTAGGTCCTGAAGTCTGGCTCAGAATAAACCATCTTAAAATACTGTATGGAGTTTAACATCTTTTTGTCAACCATGGCTTCTTTCCATGATCTAGGCCTGGAGCCTAAACCTTGCCCTGGGCTGTCTTCCTGCCCTCTGCCTTCCTGCTGCCCACCTTTCCTGTGGCAGCCACTAAGCCACCCTCCACCCATGCTAGGACCTGGAAGACCCCAGGTTGACAATGGGGAAACGTCTGGTGGTCTCCTACACATGCATCATGTGCATTGGCCATGGCTTTTACAGGATGCTACCCCAGAGCTGGTTTAGGGTTCAGGAGAACAGCCAGAGACTTCCCTGTGTGAAAAGGCTCTGGACAGATGCCTGGAAGTTCAGGACCTTCTCGGATCTCCAGGCCAATCCATCAGGACCTTGGGGCTTAAGCAAGTGGGTCTGAGCATGCCTGCGTGGGTGGGATGGTCTCAGTTCCAGAGGAAATCCCCACTCACTCCTGTGGCCTGTGATGAGAGGTGTGGAGGGGGAGAGGGTTTTTATTTGCAAGCACAATTAAAATGGGCTCATCCTTCTCTAGGAATTCTGGGGAGAAAGAGCAGGTTTTGGGTTGTGTTACTAAAAACCACTGAGTTGTACACTTTAAAAGGATAAACTAAGTCAGGCGTGGTGGCATGCACCTGTAATTCCAGTTACTTGGAAGGCTCAGGTGGAAGGATTGCCTGAACCCAGCAGGTTGAGGCTGCAGTGGCCGTGAGCATGCCACTGCACTCCAGCCCAGCCTGGCTGACAGTGAGACTCCAACTCAAAAAAAAAGAAGGGATAAACTTTATTGGGCATGGTGACTCACACATGTAATCCCAGTACTTTGGGAGGCAGAGGTGAGAGGATTACTTGAGCTCATGGGTTCGAGGCCAGCCTGGGCAGCTTGGTGAGACCTCGTCTCTACCATAAAATCAAAAATTAACCGGGCATGGTGGCACGCGCCTGTGGTTCCAGCTACTTGGAAAGCTGAGGCAGAAGGATCACCTGAGCCCAGCAGGTTGAGGCTGTGGTGGCCATG